TCGTAGTACAAGCGTAGCGCGTAGCCACCGCTAGCGCGGGAACTCGGCTGGCAAACTCGCGCTCTGATTGGTCGCGGTTTTTCGTTAATATCTCGTAAACGAAGCCTCAGTTTAAATTTTGGCTAAGGAAAAAGTTGTTCCAATTCACCCCCCGAGTGCCACATTTCCGGGTCGGAGGACATTTTTGGGACACCCTGTATATATATATATATATATTGTATAATTGTCTCGTTACAATTCATTATTATCATCATCTGTATATATATTTTCTTATATATCATGGCACACACCTACATAGGTATAGTAAGGTTCGGATTAGTGCGACAGAATTTGTATTGATGGAGGTCACTAAATTGGTGTGTATAAAAATTTTTATAAAAAAAAACTCATCGTACTACGTATCTATTTCTATCGGGGTGTGAAAAATGTATCACCATTTGATAAAGCGTTCTTTGAGGAAACCAAGTAAGAAACTTTGTGGGGATTGCTTGCACTAATCCGAGGTTAAAAAGGTTGCACTAATCCGTGTCCTACGCATACGTATATAAAATAAAAATACAAGTGGCGGTCGTTCTCAAAATACACAACATTAAATGCAATAACGTCTACATACACCAGGTGGGTCAAAAGAAAGTTTCAAAGTGTAGATGATACTAAAAGCAATTACAGAAATTACGGTTTCTAATGATAATTATCGTATCGTAAAAATATATATCATAGAAAATTATGAAAATTGAGGATCAATACAAGAGGAGACAAATATTATACACATGGACGTAAAAAGTTCACTCGGGCAAAATGAATGTAATTAGAACCTTTTCATTTTTGTAACTTCGACCTAGACTATCGATACAAGTTTAATAGAGATTCATTTTCAGCAACATTATCGTCACAAAATCAATAAAGAAAAAGGTTTAAATACTGACTTTAAACTTTTTCTTGATCACCACTATACGCATCACGTTGAAAGTGTTTGACAATAATAAATCTGCTTCTCCTTGTTATTTTGAGACCTCTCTTTCGCGCAAAGGCATTTTTCAGGGTTTCATTTCCATCTCGTTATCGTGTCATCGAACATTAATAAAGCATTTCATTTTTGGTAATATTTAAGAAAACCCCACGTTCACTACGAGCACGTGAAAAAGCGGCAGCTCGTTACACACTTAGGCACTTTTTATTCCGCCACCGTTTTTCGGAATCGTATTTTCCATAACTCGCCGATACCTCGATGTGGATTATCTACTATCTATTTACAATTCATCATCTATCCTCGAAAGACTAACAATAATTGCACTAATCGATCACTCGGAACAGGTCTGTCCAACCGTGTCCAATCGCTGCTCTTCTTGAAAATACATATTTCTAAAATATTCGTTCATTTCCTATTCCTTTCTTGCATTTTGTATAAAATTTCCGGAGTCCATTTGTCGTTACCATTTTTTTTTTTTTTTTTTTTTTAACCGACTTGCTCTTTCAGCCGAGGGGAATGACCCCCCTCCATATCCACAAGTAGCCCGACGACGATATAGAGAAAAGAAAGCGTGTGTACATGCTCTGACTGTCCCCACTTCTGACGCTCCAGAAATTCCTACCCGCACGTACCTCTTGCCCGACGATCGTATCGCAGCGCAAGCGAGTAGTGGGGTATGGACTGAGTGATGGTGGGGACCGCGTCGTCTGGCGAAATGACCCGCGGGCCAGAAGTTGGACAGGCCTGGTCTAGAATATACACTAATGTTCCTGTGGTGGCAACATTGTATTCTCCAGAGACTTTTTCAGAACACAATAATGGTAAAAACTGTGTAAAATACAAGACCTACAGACATAGTTTTTTATATTTCTACTACTGATCCATTAAAATATATACAAACTTACGCCAATATATTTCGTATATTATTAACCAAATGGAAGATAATACAGTGGTTTATCTGCAACTTTGTACCCTATAAAACCACAGAAAGATAGTACACCGAAGCAATGCAATTTTGGAGTAAATTATGTTATTTTCTTTTAAAAGTTACAAACACGATCAACAATTCCAAACTTTCGAGTGTTAATGTACTCGAACAATCTATCCAAGCACATGCATTTGTCCCAATCAAAACTGTTATAAAAAATTTCTTTCTTACAATATATTTATATCGTTTTTATAGTTTATCAATAATTCTGTTAAACTGAACAGTCCTGACTGAAAAAGGCCGACGATTCGTCGATGAAATTCTCGAAAACGAGCCACCGCCATTGGAAGGTAAATAAAATCACGCAACAACAGGGAGCAGAAAAACTATACACGCGAGAAGACACAAGGTTTAAGCAAACGGACAGCTTCCAGAACGAACAAAGACTTAAACATTAATGTTAATCGCGAAAACAGAAAGTGTTAATCGGGTGGGTCGAAGAGGGGGTGGGGGAGGCAGACACCGGGGCTCGACGCCGCACGGTCTTGAAAAGTTAATAAAAATAAATGATATGTTGCTTCTCTTGTTAATCCGTGGCCTTAAACTTAAAAATTACGATAAATTAGAACTAAATTAAATTGTGCGTGGCTTATCTGCAGTTTTCAACGGTCTGCTATCGCGTATCCACGGGATGGCTTCAGTGATGTTTTCGTTTTTTACAAAGGCGATTCCCGTGTTACAGCCATGGCCAGGTACAGTCCCCGTCAAGATATAACGTGGTCGTGAATTAAATAACATACGGAGTGGTGGTGCCACATTGCACTCAGGAAAGAATTAAAACGGAAAAAACTGTGGACTCATGTATAGTGATGAGATTTGGAACGCTTCGAATCGCTTCGAAACTGTCTTGAATTCAAGCGACAAATTCGAATTGCTTCGAATGTGATTCGAAGCTTAAAAATCCTTGAAAGTCTTAAACGGATTCGAAGTCTTAAGCGGATTTGAAGACTGGAGCGGTCTTGGAATTCCTTGAGCGCCTTGGAAGTCTTGAATGTGTTGAGATTATTGATATTAGGTTTTGCAAGCTTAATAAATATTCAATATCTTACAAGTTTTTTGATGATTGTACTTTTGTTCATGCAGTATAATTGACAGTATAAGATATTAAAGAATGTCTGAAAATTTCGAGTTATCATAAATACATTTATTGTTTTTATTATATATTAATGGGGGTGGGGGTGAGGAAGAAAATGTAAAAAAATCAAAAATATTTCCCAATGATTGGGACACAATTTGTGTAAAAATAAGTTTATTGCTTATACATACTATTTATTGAATAATATAATTATATTTAAACTTAATGTAGCTTGGGATACAATTGAAAGAAAAATACCAAACAGCGGTGATTTTAGGAAAACAATATATATAAACTATATTAACTAAATAAAATGATGAACTAAAAGTAAGAAACATTGCTATAGAATACACAAATGGTGAAGACTGCACCTCGCAGGTCAGGGTTCTTTTGTTCATAATTGACACTGAGCGAGCAACATGACATGCACACACACACTACGATACGCTTTACTTACCTAAGCAGGACCTTTTTCCGAAGGTGGCCTCTTAGCTCGAGTCACGACCAAATTTATGAAGCTACAATAGTATTGTGCATAATTACATTTAATATAATATATACCGTATAAAGTAGTAATTCTATTTAAAGATAAATAAATAATAATGATTTTATTATTGTATATGTTTAGTAACACAAGATTTTATCCAAAGTTGTATGTCTTAATTTAATTCTTTTACTACATACGCGAAATTATAATTCCTGCTTTTGGATTTTTTTTCCTTTTTTTAATTAAACTACTATTTGCAACTAAAAATGAAGCAATTAACGAATAGTATACTAATGGCGTATGTAATAATAAATAAATAATAACGTATTAATGGATTAGAGTACTAATTTCAATACTATGTAAATACTTAATAAATTAGTCAAAATTGTTTTACTTAGTTAATAAAGTTTATATATTGTTTTCCTAAAATCACCGCTGGTTGGTATTTTCTTTTTAACTATATCCTTCGCTATATTAAGTTTGAATACAATTTTGTTATTCAATAAATAGTATGTATGAGCAATAAACTTATTTTTTTACAAATTGTGTCTCAATCATTGGGGAACGTTCTCAATTTGTTTAACATTTTCTTTCTTACAGTCCCCAAAAACAATAAATGTATTTATGATTATTCGAAATTTTCGGAATTATTCTTTAATATCTTATATCAGTGATACTGCTAGAATAAAAGTAATCAAAATGCCTGTAATATATTGAATATTCATTAAGCTTGCAAAATCTATAAAAAACAAAAACCTCATCACTTCCAAAACTTCCAAGACCATTCAAGACTTCCAAGACCATTCAAGACTTCGAATTCGTTGACCTTGAATCTGTTCAAAACTTCGAATCCGTTTAAGACTCTCAAGAGTTTTAAGCTTCGAATCAGATCCGAAATGATTCGTAGTTTTCGTCCGTGTACAGATTCGAAGCGATTCGAAGCGTTTCAAATCCCATCACTACCCTGGTCTCGTACTTTGTCGTATAACTTTCATAGCCACTCTGTTCCCCTTCATTATCGGTGTCAGTCAGGTCTGGTCGGTTTTTGTACTTAGCCTGGCGGATCGCTGTCAGTCTGCCTCTGGCTTCTTCCAGTTCTCGCTCGATACGTAACACCTCTGTCCTAGCGTTTATTTCCTGGGCGATGCCACCGACCATCCTGCGATTCAGAACCAAGGACCGTTCTTCTTCCTGCTGGATAGCTTGCTGCGCTGCTCTGACCAGGTTGTCTGTAGCTCGTTTCACAGCATTTCCAGCCTGTTGCAGACGCTTAGTGCTCTCACTGTCGGGGTCAGCCTTCACTTTACAGGCTACCAATAACTGTGCAGTACTGCTGGCGACCTGTTTCGCGCTAGAGATCAGCTTCTCTTCCGAGCTGACACCCTGTACAAGCGCATTCGCGGATTCCACGAGACTGTGCGTTGCAGCTGCCACCATTCTCGCGGCGGATATTAAACCTTCGGACCATTGGCCATCGTCGGAACTGGTTAAAGGTTGTCGTGAGACTTTACCTGTAACTATTAACTCTCTCTGTGCTGCACTGGCCGCTTTGATGAGGGCTGACGTTGCGGCCGCGATCGATTTTGCGGCCTCGAGGATCATCTCGTCGAAGTTCATGTCTTCATTGGCCTCCTGTAAAATGAAATATAAACAACTGAGGACATGGGTAACTGGATAAAGAATTATTAATTGGAGATAAATACAACTTAATTAATTTAACTGCAACTGGCCACTGATTTCGTTTTCTCGACGACAAATTACCTCAAAGATTGTCTGTTTCTGTATAATTTAAGGGTATAGCGGAATTGCTTAAAACTATAGACGAAATTGAATGATTTCAAGCTACGAGTTGAATGTATAGTAACCCGTATCGGAGGTTACCTTTTCGTCTATCACATGCCATTGGGTCGGAGGTAAAACTTATACGATAAAATTTCAATGTCTTAATCAGAGATGACATTCGACCGATAAGGGTTAAAAGAAATTTACATTATTATACTTATAATTAACTTATTTTCGTCATCCTTACCCGGCGATGAACATTCGTTGATTCTTCTGGCCGCCATAATAATATGTTTGATTCCTGGTCGATTATGAAAAAACAACCAAGAATATCAAACATATCTTACGGAAACCAGATAAGCTTCTTCCAGTCTGCCACTTTCTTTTCTCTTCTGAAGTGATCATTACCTTTGCAATGAATGCCAATCGAAACCACAATAACATTTGAATTAACTCGACGAGACTCTCAAGTGTCATAAAATACTTATTTCATTACAGTCTCTTATACAATTTTTTAGATTTTAGATCTATACTTATGTTGAAAAATTTTCAATGTCTCTAAATGACAATCAACAATGCAAGAAACAACAAATTAAAATAAATTCTTAATAAAGGTAATAATATTATTGTTAAAGCATTTGAAGGTCTCGCCTGTCCTCAAAAGACAAACAAAACTTAAATACCTTAACATCACGTATTCACCAGATCCTCTAAAGACTATGTTATAATCATAAACGTTCACAGAACTCACCTGAATGCTTCTTCTAGGTCTCAAGCTAGCCAGCTTCTTGGCAGCAGCATCGATACTAGCAGCAGCGCCTAGCAATTCATTCTCAGCTATGACAGTTGGGTCATCAGGGTCCACCCAATCGCTTCCCTTCAACAGCTCAGCGACAGCTACCAGTTCAGTGACACTCTGGGCGATTTTTCTAGATATCGGGACCAGTGTGTGCTTAGGGTCACCAGATCTGGAGGCTATTTGGAGGATTGCTTGCAATAGTTCCCTATAATGCATCGCCACGTCGTGGCCAGCCTGAAGAGTCCTGTCTCTAAGTTCAGAAGTTTCAGCGCAGTTGTAGGCTGCTCCCTTGCAAATCGTTAGCATGTCACTGATAGCCTTCCTTCCCATATTCGCTGCTGCGATTATGTCGTCCTGCTTGCAACTGTTCCCAGCAGCTACCGCCTTTCCGGTGGACATCGTGATGCTTTTGGTGCAACGGACCAAATCCTCTGGAGTCACGTTGCTCTTTTGGATCTCCGGAGTGTGCAGAGCGCGAATCTCTTGAGCAATCGCCTCGATAGTCGATTCGAGAGCCCTGGTACCGCGCGTGTGCTCATCTTCTACTGCTTTGACTGTTTTTAGGAGTGATGTTACGTTGGTCACCATCACCTGAAGAAGAAACAAACAGATTTATAGTTTTTCTCATTTGACAGATGTGTATTGCTAGGTGATATATTGATAGTCTAAGTACTGCGTCTTGTGCACTCCTCGAAAGAAAATTTAAAAATCACGTAATATAAGAAATATTATAATTATATTATTATAAATATAATTTATTTATACTGATGGGGTTATGTATTGAAGATTTACGTGACTTTTAGAATACACCTTGTTCCATGGATTTGTGACGCTTGAGAGGAATATGACTCCTTTCTTTTAGCAAAAAATATGCAGAAACCGTTATGTAGTTATGGTGTATGATTCTGAATATTTGCTATGGAATAAATGGAAGAGTTTCTTTTCTTCGTTTCTTACTGAAAGTCATATTAGACACATAAAACAATCATTAGTGATACAATAATATTGGACAGGCTTATAAATAATGGTACTTATTTGATATATTTTAGATTGTTTTGTGTAATATGTTTAAAATTTTTAAAAAGCAGTTAATCTATCAAGAATACATTTTATAGACCAGACAATGATGTAATGCCTACACAATCCAAGGAAATATGTATATTGTTTTGTGTGAATAACAACTTATCTAAAAGTTGACATTGACTAGTTACAATTAGTGTTGTATAAAGCTCGAGTCTTCGAAGCTACAAAGCTTAGAGTATAGACTCAGTCTTTAAGGCTACAATCATATGAAGCTCGAGGCTCAAGGCTCGAGCTCCAAGGCTCGAGTCGTCGAGGCTCGAGGCTCGAGTTTCAAGGCTTTGAGTAGACGAGGCTCGAGCCCCGAACCTCGAGGCTTTTATGTTTAACACGTTCACTGCCGAGCGTGTTTCTGCTGGTTGTGTTTTCAGCGCTAAAGAGTGATTGCCCATGAGAATCATATAAAAAAATATTTCACAAGTTGATTATATACATATATTGTGCAACATGTTCATGTTTGCACTTATTGTTTTCAACTACCATTCTAATATTCATTGTATTTGCAAAATTATAAACGTTATTGTTTGCGGATTTTACGCAATTTTATTGAGTTCGGTTGTGCCGGTTATCTATGACCACGATGGCGGTTAGCGTGTTAACAATAATGAAATTAACACCAAGTCCTTAATATTATATTTCATTTACTTTGTTTGTACAACTACGACTTTAAAACTTTCAACATATAGAAAAAATGCGTTTTGATAGTTCCACCAAATGGTCGGATCCGTGTCTTCAAATTCTTGTGATACGTATATTGTTTACAATAAAGTATTTATTTGTTTACAGTACGCACATATTAGAAAATATAGAAGGGGATAGTACTTTTTGGTCCGTGGTGTGTCTCTGATTTTTCATTTTGTAGTTAGTTTGATTTCCATAGCAGTAACATATTTTTAAAGAAGAATATAGTCTTTTACATTAAATAGGTATGTATCTACTGTAATCGTATCTCAGTAACTTGTAAGTAACATATACTATACTATATAAGTGTAGCTTTATTAAACACATTAAGATATTTTAATATTAATTTGATACTGCCCTAATTATCAATAGCGTATTCAACAAATTCTCCTATTTTTTCATAGAGATAATCTCAAAGCATTAATTTTGATAGCGTGTTCTAACATTAAATATATTAAATTTCAACGAACTGACATATCTTTAATAAGTTCTAAATACTTCAAATTCGTAAAATACAATACTCAGCGTATGAGTGATTTTGTACGCCAACGTACCGTGCAGAGCATAAAGGCGAAGGAACCGATTTTGTTTCAATCGTCAAGGGAACTGAAATAACGATGACGGTAACAATCAATTAGTTTTAAGAAACAACCAAAGCAAGAATATAGTGAGCAGAAACGCTATAAAAGATATAAAAAGGCCGGATAATAAACTGGAATTTATATAGAATTTAAAATTTAAAATTCAAATTACAAATCAAGTTGTACAATGGATGAAGCATCGGTGTCATTTAATAGTTCTTTTAGTGGAATCTCTGATAACGAACACGAGGCAACAATGACAGAGGTCCATCATAGAAGTTCGTGGAAATGGAATTGCTTCGAAAAGAAAGAAGAGGATAAAGTACAGTGTCGTAGTTGTAACCATTCTTTTTCTTTCAAAACATCGCATAGTATTTTAAGAAAACATTATAAGAAACATGAAGGAAATGTTTCGCAAGCAACACGCAAAAATGTTGGGAAACATGAGACAAAATCTGTTTCTGTTCTTCAAAATCTGTTGATGAAGTTCATACTTCAGGGAAGTCATTCACTGCGTATTGTAGAAGAAGAAGCTTTCGTTAATTTCGTGAGTGGATTGAACCCAAATTATAAAGTTCCTAGCAGGTATACCATGAATCAGTTAATTCAGAGTACGTTCAAGGAAAAAAAGAATAAAATTATTCAACATTTTAGAGAATCAAATCATAAAATATCATTAACATTTGACTTTTGGACCTCCGTAACACACAAACCATATATTGTTATCACTAGCCACTTTACGATGAATGGTACAATGCAGTCATTACTAATTGATTTTGACATGATCCCATACCCTCATAAAGCCGAAAACATTGTGCAAAAAATTAAACGCGTTATTGAAGAATTTGATCTTAGAAATAAACTTATAGCTCTTACCACAGATAATGCAGCAGTAAATTATAAATGCCTATCATTATTAAAAACATTTAATGGAGATTACAAAAATGTAACTCATATTCCATGTATTGCTCATGTTTTGAACATAGTAGTACAAACTGGTTTAAAAGAAATCCAGACCGAAGTTAATAAAATATCAAAACTCGTTCACTTTATTACGTTTTCTGGTAAGAGGAAACAAATATATGAAGAGTGTTGCGTTTTATTACATGTAAAACATTTAGAACTTATTAAAGATATGCCAGTTCGCTGGAATTCAACATACCTAATGTTACAACGCGCTATTACAATGAAAGCAGTTCTAAATTATCTGTGTGAAGAAAGGAGAGAATTTATTGAATACAATATTGATTCTTGGGACAATATCGAATTAATAGCGAAATATCTTAGCGTTTTTAATGAAGCTACCCTTATCTTATCAAAATCGAAATATCCCAGTATATGTTACGTACAAATTGTTATTCAGGTATGTATTATTATAAATTACAACATATAAATTTTAATTATTTACTATTATTAATTAACTAATTTTTATTTACTTCTATTTAGATACTATTGCAGCACATATCTAATTTTAAAGACGACATTTTTCTTAAAGCATGTGCTACCGTTATGGAAACAAAATTGAATAAGTATTTAGCACCACTCTTGAATGATTTCAGTGAATTTTCGGTAATTTTGAATCCCCGTCTAAATAATGATTATTTTGTGAAGAGAGGAAATCTGGATGCTTTAAAAAAATTAAAGCACTATTTTCAAATAAATTATTATTCAGAAGAACATACAGCAAAACAGCTACAAACCGAGGAGGCAGGGACGAGATGTTCTACTGCTTCCATATTTTCTAGTATTTATAAAGCAAAGGAAAGTAATTTCTGTGATGAAATTGATATGTATATAAATACAGAACAAGAATCCGAAGAAATTGATCCAATCGCTTGGTGGAACCAGCGGAAAACATCTTTTCCAAATTTACGCAAAATGGCCTTGGACATTTTGTCAGTACCAGCTACGAGTGTCCCTAGCGAACAATCGTTTTCGAAAGCTGGCAATTTAATTACTAAAAGGAGAAATAGACTGAGTCAGTCAACGATTCAGGCCTCCATGTGTTTGCAGTCATGGCTGTATTTTTTAAAAACTGAATAAAGTATAATATTATAGATTTAGTGTTAATTCCATTATTTAACACTTAAGGATTGTAGAGGGTTGAGCCTTAAAGCTTCAGACTTAATGTGGAATAGCACATTGACGATTGGAAAAAATTAAGTTTTTTATATATACTTTCAAAGTATAATTGTTCGAAAATATTCTACTAAAATATTAAGTCGAATATCACGTAAATAACGAAAAAAATGTCCCAACTTTATCTCTCAGATCAATGAACCGTGAACAAATTGAGAAACTATTTTGTTCGACGCGTAACATCCTATGCCTCGTATATCTTGCTCAAGTATACATAGGTATTTTGTAATAAAAGAAAATTTAACGTATTGTTCAACATATATATTTGATCACCCTATTAGTAATAGTTTAATGAGGTTTGGGTGTTGCAGAACTAATTTACAAAAACCACGCTTTTCTGGATGTTTTTGGATTATTCCCCCTTGAAGCTTCAAAAGCTTGAGATTCGTGTAATATTAGAGTTAAAAACTGAAAACTTTTAGGTTAAGTTTTAAGGCTTCGAAAACGCAAGGTCTGTACATTACTTCACTACATACAATTTATACGACTCGAGCCTTCAAGCTTAAAGGCTCGAGCGTTAAAGACTCGAGCTTTCACGACTCAAGCTTCGAACCTTGAGGGTTCGAGCCTTTAGGGTTTGAACCGCGACTCGAGCTGTTAAAGCTCAAGACTCGAGGCTCATTTTAACAACACTAGTTACAATCCGAAAGAAATTCTTATCATTTTTGGCTGAAACGCACGAAGAAAAAGTAAATATGGTAGGGGAAGCCATATTGGCCTCAACTGACAGAAATCCGTGGAGCCATATGCATATACAGGGTGGCCTACATAACTCTTAACAGCTCAATATCTCGAAAACTATACCATCGATGTTAAAGTTCTTGGTCTTAAATTGCATGAATCTGAAGGGTCTTTCTAACTACATCAATTTAAGGGGGGCGGGGGCACCTTTATAATTTTAAATGGAACCCCCTATAGAACGTTAGATATTTCGATTCTACAGGAAAAAACAAGTAAATTTTGTCTGAAACATTTTTTGTCAGATATTTCCATGATGAGATAAAACAATTTGAAGTTTCGACTTGTAGGTACTTACTTGAAGCGTTCGGAAATTGCGTTATTGAATTATACGTGCTTGAGTCCTTTGTTTATTCGTGAAGAAATTAAATG